AATTTTTTTGGCGACGGGGGGGGGGAGGTCGCCAAAATAATTTTTCGGGAAAAAAGTTTTTGGTACTAGTCGGGCAGAATCCCGAAAAGTCGGGCAATTATCTTTCCGCCCCCCTAATTTTTTCCTTCCGGTACGCCCATGAATCTGACAGCGTATTTCCAAATGTTGTAATAATTTGTGATCTACCTTGAAGATATGGACGATGTTGGATAATGTTGGATGATTTTTTTAAACAAATGAAACCTGATTCAACATCGGATAATACTTAGTCTTAGACCCGTTTTATACGTCGAATTTTGGTCGCGTTGAATGCAATTAAGACAATAGATAATGAGATGATAAACCTCATTTAATTTCATTATCTATTGTTTGAATTGTATTCGACGCGACCGAAATTCAACGTATAAAACGGGCCTTAATAGCCAACACAGTGTTTATGCAAAAGAGACCAACAATGTTGCATCAAACAATGCGGTCGAGGCTCTGTGAATTATAAATCGATTTTTCCTACAGACCCATTCAACATTGCTGATTTTGCTTTTCTTTTATCTTATTTTAAAGGAAACGATGAATTAGCGCTCCTGGAGGAAAGGTAAACAAATGTTATTTTAAATCATTAAGTAGTAACAGGATACAGATGATGTACGTTCTCGAACGAACTACAGTAGAAATTCTACGCAAAATGTGATTTTTATTATCAAGACAGCGATACGGCGCTGGTTTTCTTCGTGTTTTTCATGAATGAGCTTAGGACAAAGGCAGGCGTTATGTGAAGGTGCAATAGACCGATTTAAATAATAGTAATTTTTCGAAATTATTGTTAACTAAGGTACTGAATCACTGCGGTTTAATAGAATACTTCAAGACTAACAGTTTCGCAAAGTACAGTATGAATGTAATACCGTGTATTCTCTTTGAAAAATTGAATGCTAAAAATACCAAGTTTATGCCAGTACGAGTTTATGCCAGCTTTAGCAAACACGTCTGCCTGACAATAATCTCTTTTTTGTGCTTTTTCACATCTTAAAGGGTTAAAATTTCGCTTGCATGAATACAGCTTGCAGTCGTAAACTCCCACACTTAATTTGCATGCCTGTAATATTAACAGTCTCTGATGAAAAATTGTTTATTAGCCTGGAAATGCATAAAAATATAATTTAATGCAAAATTGTGATGGCTAGTTCTCGAATTGGTCAATACCGGTACAATAAGTCCGTCCTACGCAAAAAGTCCGCATGAACCAGTAATAAACTAGAAATACACACATGCAACAGTAAACCCTCGCTTCTCAGCAGATGAAGTATAGAAATTTTATATGAAGTAAAAACAATAGTGGTTGCCATGGAAACAATAAGATGACTAAACAATAGTGACTAAAAACAATAGATGACTAAAAACAATAGTGGTTGCCACGGAAACGTGAACTGAATAATATTGGAAAATATTAAGAGCTAATTTAATTAATGGCAATTCCAGCAATAGACTAAATTTTGATCTAGGCAAGAAGAACAAACTCCCTCACAACAGCTAGAAAGAGCATGTTAAAATTAGTATAATTGCAAAGTTTGGCCGTGAAATGTTGTAAAATGCGAAAAATATAGCCATACGAAATTTACAAATTTTGTATTAATTTGTATTTATTTAGATTTGGGCCGAAAGTGGTGCATTTTCCAGTGCGTAATAAAAATTAATATACAAAATTTCGTAGGGCTATATTTTCCTCATTGCTTCGTCGGGCCTAGCCCGAGGGAGCTTTAAAATGCTATTTTTCTGGGCATGTGCTAAAACCTGGACGATGGACGATGGACAATGGACGATGGACGATGGACGATGGACGATTTTTATTTTCAGTCGAAAGTCAAAACACTAAAACCCGCACACTTCCGCTCTTGTACTTTGTTGTCATTTATTGTATACTTCGTCGTGTGTTAATAATAATACTAATATTGCAATACTAGGTACTTGTAAGAAAGCATAGCTTTTCCGTAAGACTCACTGCATAAGTAGCAGTTATAGGCTATTCACTGCATAAGTCCATACAAGTGCTAGAACAGTTGAGGAACTCAATAATAAATTAAATTACAAACGTTCAAGCTTGGTGTATACTAACAACAGCATAGTAATAAATGACGGTAAAACGAAGGCAATGATGATAACAACATCTCAGTCAGCGCGCAGTCACATTAAATTCAAATCTACGAGTAGAATTTAACGGTGTCCAGTTAAAGAATACCAACAATGAGAAAATACTAGTGGGGTTGTTATGAATGAACATCTTTCCTGAAAACAGCAGATTGACAAAGTAACAAAGTCTCTAATTAAAGGAATTCATCTCCTGAGACAGATCAAAGAGTATTTGCCTATTGGTCACCGAGTAATTTACTACAAGTGTTTCTTACAACCTCACAATATAGATTATTGCTGTACAGTTTGGGGACAATCATGTCATATTATTCGCATACATAAACTCCAAAACTTAGTTCTGAGAGACTGAGAATTATATACGACAAACCGAAGCAAACTTCTTGTGGGCCACTATTTAAAGCTGCTGGAGTCCTGTCTATACAGCAAAGAGTAATGCTACGAACAGCAATAATGGTATATAAATCATTAAACAACTGGGTACCCAAGCACATAAGTGACTTGTTTGTCTTAAAGTCATCAGTGACAAAACGCATTACAACTAGAAGCTCAGAGAACAACGAATTGTGGATACCGCGAACGAAACTAACAATTAGGCAGAAAACGTTGAAATTCAGTGGTGCAACATTATATAACAGTTTACCACGTGCGACCAGACAATCAACGTCATTAAGCACCTTTTAAATAAGAGCCTATTGTTTGTACGACTTTTATATGTGCTTGTTGTACTGATGTCCAATTTAATGTGTAGTTTTAATAGTAAATTTGTAATAAGTAGACGATAACAGTTGAACAGAAGGCCCAATGTAAGATTAGCGTTGCTAAACTGTTTTTTGTAATTTGCACCTTCTTTAAATAAAGTTTATTATTATACATTTAATATGTATTCTCGTTTCTAATTGGTCAGAAAGCACCGGCTAATTTTCAGTATTCGGCATTTATTACGCATTTACCGCCGATGACGTCATCAGCGTCCAATAAATGTTTTTTTGGATCGAACTTGCATCCAAAAAAAAATTATTGGACTCTCTCGTGCCCAAACCCTTGCGCGGCCAAAAGCTTGAACCTATAAGCGCGCGAAATAACAAACAAACAATGGCCTACAGCAGATTTGCTTCGCTGAATGAAAGTGAACTCTCAAAATTATTGGCACGGATAAGGATAGTGAAAGCACGAAAAAAGCCACAAAGGGGTAAATAGAAGTAGAAATAGAATATTTGGCTGACCTTTGACTCTGTGCAAGGTGTTTGATATTCAAATTGTACTTTTCCTACCTCATGAACAGGAAGCGTTTTATACGTTTCTCATGTCTTTAAATGTATAATAAAACAATTATTGGATTCGGCTTTCGCATGATATCAAGAATTATTCAGACCTGGGTCTATGTTATCCGCCTCAGCTTCGCTTCGGCAGATAACATTGACCTCGGTCTGAATAATTCTTGATATCATGCTCAGCCTCATCCAATAATTGATTATTATTATTATTATTATTATTATTATTATTCTGATTAAGTAGTATTGCTTTAATATTATTGGTAACGCATAATTTGGTACGTAGCCGCTAAAGTAATACAAAACAAAATATAGTAAATGATAACAAAATGATAGAACTGCTGGAGCAGTTCCATCAATAAAAGTAAAAATTAAAACAAATATCGCGTTCCCACCAAAAATCGCGCGGGAATTTCTTTTTGCGCTTGCCAGTCTAGCCCAGTGAACTACAGGGTGTATAAAAAAAACTGAACAGATATGAATTTGCTCTCAATTTCGCAAAACAGCCATTAGTATCCAATTTTTTATGTATATAGTATTAGTCTACGACCTGTATATGAGTTAGTATGCATTTAATTTAGGACAGATAATCTCAACTGTTTTAGGGCAAGTTGACCATGACGGTCGTCGAAACTGATCACACCCAAAAACGACGCTCTCGCCATAGTGCTATCTAACAAACCATAAAAGCTTTGGCTATTCTGAGGTGCTTATATGGTTCAGAGATGGTGCTTTTAGGGGTCATGGTCATTGCTAAGTGTGAAATGCCTAGCACTGATATTTCACAAGAAAATGACCATGCAATACTCATAGTCAAACGTCAATTTGTGACGTACAAATTCAGATAAACAGCAGTGGACATTGTGGACCTACATTACCTTTTTTCCTAAATCTTTTTATAGAAACATAATTGCTACTTATTGAAGTATATTATCACTGCTTTGCTGTAAAATAGTTAATACTTTGTGACCGAAATAATAATTTGAAATGTACCTACCTCTTGCAAATGGACGTATTTGGCCAAATTCTCCACTTTACTCCGCTGTTTATCGCCAATCTAGTTGAAATCCTTCCAAATATGTACGGCAGCTCAGACATAATGAAGGTTTCTGGGAGTCGGAAGAGTGTTATTTATATACCGGATAGTGAAATTAAATATATTCTTGGGAAGTTTACTCTGAACGGAGGACCATATAGAGTTGAATGAGGGTGTCGAATGTTTAATGATATTGGAGAAAAATGAGCCTTGTGAAATTAGGTGGTGTTGAAGCTTGTCTTCGTGTTGTTTCCTAGTGATAGTGTTTAATACGTCCTTGGTGTTTTTGTATTTGTCATATTGTATATTTTTGTGATTGCTAGTATCCTTCCAAAGGTTATTGATCGCTTCATTTGGCGACGACTTTAGAGCTTTCCGAGAAACAGTTTGGCATTGAAGGAATTTGGTTGAAGGTAGAATGATATTTAATCCAAATTTATTGTGGGGAAGAGGACGTTACTAAGGGTTGCAGAAATAGGAAGTTCAAGCCAGTTTCGGATATACGTGGACGCGATACTATCTAGTTTATCAATAACCCAGGTTTTACCCTATGTCGAAACAGTGAAGTGCCAAGAGATTTTGGAAAGCACATAACGACTGTATAAGAGAATTTTGTTTTTCGGATGTAATGGTAGATCATCAATTTCATTCAGGATATTAGTAAGTGTGTCATATACTTCAGATTTGTGATCTTCGTCAGACATGTTGATATCAAAATAGCGACCTAAGTAGCGAAATGATTTACCAAGTTCAACACGTGGTACAAGACAGTTATTTATAAACAGTTTTGGGAGATATTGAATGGATTTAGATAATTGTTTCCTAATGCCAAATGTTGAACATTTGTCTACACGTATTATCATTTGAGCCCACTGACACCAGATTGTAAAGCGATTGAGGAGCATTTGGTTTTCTTTTTCTTGACCGCTAACAACAGCCGCGTTGTCTGCAAACTGGAACCAATGAATAGGATTTAATGGGATGCCGTTTTCGCTGGATTTCTAAAATCCAAGTTGACGGTATTTTTCCGTTTTAATATGTTGGATAAAGGTATTGAAAGACATGTTGAATAAAAGAGGACTGAGACAATCGACTTGAAGGACGCCACGACCGACTGTAATGAAGGAAGTATTGAACTGTTCAGTTATTATGGAAGTTTGGAAATCTGTGTAAAGGCTACTGACAAGATTCTTTATGTGATCGGGAATGTGGTGATATTCAAGAACTTCATAAAATAATAAGGTTATGGTGGACTTCGCCGAATGCATTTTTGAGATCTAATAGTGTTATGATAAGTGATCGTTGTTTTACTCGCGCTTTATTAATGATATGTGCCAACAGTGCTGTGTGTTCTAGTGTTCCTGAAAGTTTTGGAGTGAAACCTTTCTGTATGTTCTGTTCAATGTAATTGTTTTCTGCAAGAAACTGAAATGTCCTGTTGCGAAGACATGATGTGAAAACTTTGAGTGGGACAGATTCGAGAGTAATGGGTCGAAAGTTCGCTGGGTTTGCTGTTTCCCCTTTCTTATGAATTAGAATCGTGCATGCTTTCTTCCATTCAGACGGGACAATACCGCAAGACCCTGCTGCGTGGATTATCTCAGTTAAGTACGAGCGTAAATAAGGACACCGTTAAAAACAGATGACAGATATTTGATCAAGTGGACATGGTGAGCCAGATGGTTTCATTTTACGGATGACATTTGTAATCTCTTGATAGGTCGGGGGGGGGGGTCAAGAATAAAAGGCGTCTGAGGAGATGCAAATTTTGGGATCCAACTGGGGATGTTGAATGTTTTAGTTGGGCTAATCGCGGACAATGTTTTGGTAAAATATGATGTACATTCTGCTAGGTTAAATGATGGAAATAATAATAATAATAATAATAATAATAATAATAATAATAATAATAATAATAATAATAATAATATAATAATAATAATAATAATGAAGTCAGCGTCCTTCCACCGCGACCATCAGACCGTACACACCGCCAAGGTTATGATCTTCAGGCAGCCAATTCCTCAACAATTTCTACTTACGGTACCCGATCTTTAACCATCAACCTCGGTCTTCGACGATCCTTTCCCTGGATTTTCACCATCCACGCCATCATAGGTCAACCTTCTCGTTGACCTACGCACACGCAGCCTTATTGACGCAGTAACCCACCTTCGTGTTAACGGTATTACTTCGCCAATACCAGCTCTTAGTCCTGTCTATTCTCCTTTCCCTCCAACTCTTTCCACGAAACTCCTCGGAGAGTGTCCGGACATTACCAGACCAACAACCAAGCAAACTGCTGTTAAACACAACGTCGCCCACCACATCCTTACGCGAGGACCACCTTGCTCTTCTCGACCCCGGCGCCTTCCACCAGAACGACTCAAGATCGCTAAAGATGAGTTTCAATATATGTTGGACAAGGTAATTATCTGCCCCTCCAGTAGTTCTTGGGCTTCTCCACTTCACATGGTTCCAAATCTCAACCCGGGGACTGGCGTCCATGCGGGGACTATCGTGGTCTTAATCGAGTCGCTATACCAGACCAATACCCCGTTCCACATACTCAAGATTTCTCCGCCAGCCTCCATGGTAAAACCATCTCTCCAAGATTGACCTCGTTCGAGCTTATCACCAAATCCCTATGGCTGAAGACGACATTTTTAAGACCGCAATTACTATCCCTTTTGGTTTGTTTGAATTTACCAAGATGCCCTTTGATCTCCGCAACGCAGCCCAAACTTTCCAACGTTTTATGGACGAAGTTACTCGTGGTCTCGATTTCGTTTATGTCTATATCGATGACATTTTCATCGCTAGCAAGAACGCCCTCGAACACGACGTCCATCTACGATTACTTTTCGACCGTTTTCGACAGTATGGTGTGGTTATCAACTCCGCTAAATCCGTGTTTGGTGTTTCATCTCTCGAGTTCCTTGGACACAAAGTTACTGCACACGGTATCCAACCCCTTGACTCGAAAGTCAAAGCCATCCGTGATTTTTCCCTCCCTACGTCGCTCACCAAACTTCGAGATGTTCTCACATCCTTCAATATTCTCACATCTTTCAGCCTCTCACTGACATGCTCGCTTCCACAGGCTCCACCAAGAAGACAAATAACACCCCACTCCAATGGTCCAAACCAGCTACCACTGCTTTTCAGAAGATCAAGAACGCCCTTGCTGATTTCACTCTACTTTCACACCCAAAATTCGCTGCTGAGCTGTGCCTCTTTTAAATATTAATTTTATAATTCTTTTAAAACCTAAAAACCCGACGGCCTTTGCGTATATGAAACAACTAAACAAGACAGCATATAATTTCAGTGTATCTTTATTGATTCCCTTTTATATTATATCGATTTTTTTACAAAATAGAAAAGAAAGCAAAGTTATTTGCATGCGAGAATTTGAAATTATTTTATTGCAAACTCAAAGTTTATCGATAAAGCTATTTAAAGAGTTAAACTTAAAGCAATAAAGGCAGTTTAGTTTTATAAAGAACACTTTACGTTTCATAAAACGTTTTGCGAAGCGTTTGTTGTTAAATTTTACCTTAAATTGAAGCTTATATTACGTATAATAACATACCTAGCATATATATGTTTGGGAAATTGATAATTTTGTAATTACCATGACAACTACTTTAGATACTTCATGTTCGAAAAATACAACGGTTTTGTCAGCAAGCGGCGAAGATTTCTGCATGCAGGTATTTTCCCGTTATAATTCCATCTCAGTCGCGTGTGGGAATAATACTTCCATTGTTCTATTTCGACTCTATCAACCTTCTCGGATTTTCTCCTGATATTCTACTCGCCTTCAGTGGTGACGCGAATCAACAAGACATTGGATTTACAGGACGCTTAGAGAGAACAGTTTCAAATTGATAGAGCTGTTCAGTATAAGTAAAGTTAGTTTAGTTATTACATCACCGTTTGAAGAAATATTCTTTGCTCTTTAGTTCATGTATACCAGCAGAAGAAGAGCCTGTGCTTACCAACACGAGTTACTGTCAACCTTTAATCAAACTGGACAAACCATTTTGTGAACATTACGGATTCAAACTTGATAAATACGTCAATGTGTCGGTGGGTGACCAACGGTACTGGAATGATCGATTGTGGAAGTTACAGGAACAGTACGACCAAATACTTGTTAAAAGGCAAAATCGTTCAATCTCACCCGAATGCATTGACCAATTTTGGTTCGCTGGCTGTCACTATACGTTTCCAGGCTGCGAGCGCAGCACAAGTGTATTTAAACCGAAGAGATTTTGTAAGGAGTCTTGTATTCATTTTAGAAATGAATGTAGTAGGTTTGCAACGGTGCTTAAAGATATTTACTTGTCGGGGAATCCAGGAAGAAAATTTCTGTTCAGTTGCTTGAAAAGACCTTCAAGAAATGCTGGAGACTCTCCTGAGTGTGTGTATTACGAGAGGAAAGAAAGTTTGGAAAAGGAAGGTATATTGGTTGGTCGTCAGTGCGTCGTTTTTTATTCAGTCCTGAAGTCAATCAGTTAGCCGATTGTTAGTCAGTCAGTCTGTCAGTTGGTCGGTCGGTTATATAATCGATCGAATGGTTTGTCAGTCAGTCATGATGTCAGTCAGTCAGTAGGTTGGTTGGTCGCAAGGTTGGCCAGTTGTCTGGCCAGTCAGTCCGTCCGTTGGTCCATCAGATGGTCGATCGACTGTCAGTCTTTTGGTTGGTCTGTCTGTCAGTCGGTCGGTCGGTAAGCTTTAAAAATGTATTGACTCCAGCTTCTGAGGGGTAATTATTTGCAAAATTAGTAATAAATAAATAAATAAATGAAAAGGCATCACTTATTGTTAAATATGCTTCACTGGCTAACTGAAATGATAAAATTGTATTCCTATAGCATATAAGGAACATAGCTTGCCTATCGAGCTCGGTTGAGCTCGGTCGGCATGCTTAGTGATCACCCCATCCATCTGTCTAAATACTACTTTTCGTTACAGATTGTCTATACTTAAACGGCAGCAGTTATCATGGCAACATATCTGTGACAGCCTCAGGTATTCCGTGCCAATCATGGACAGAACAATGTCCACATCGTCATACAATGAACAAAACATATCCAGAACTAAATAACGCTAAGAATTATTGTCGAAATCTTAGGAACTCAGGACAACGACCTTGGTGTTTTACCACAAATAGGAACAAGAGATGGGAGTACTGTGATATCCCTAAATGTATACGAGGTATGTGGTGCGCTGTTCCGAAATGTTAGGGCCTTTTTTAAGAATTGGTTTGTAGGGGGGGGGGGCGCATCGTACGAAAAGTGACCTATTCATCTATATACTATATAGGCAGGGACCTCAGAGCAATGGCACAAAATTATTGAAGTAAATTCGACGGAAAGCTGCCAACCACATTCACGTGGTGGGAGTCTCCCACCCGAGAAAATGTTAGGAATTATTAACCCGAAATGTGTATTACCAGCTATTTCTCGCAGTAAGTTTGTTTAAAACGATAATGTGTATTGAATATGGGACAAGTAAAGACAATGTTAAAGCGTTTATTAAAATCCAAAAAAGCAACCAGCATGCGTTTAGGAAGGATGGATCCACAGTCAGCGCATTAACCAGCATGACTCAAGATTGGTAAGATGCCACAGATCAAGGCAGTCCATACAGTGGTGTACATGCGCTGTTTATAGATTTTCGGAAAGCGTCTTATCTTGTCGATCATGAGCTCGAGATACTCTTGACGAAGCTGAGAAATATATAGGGGTTAATAAATCATTCTGGCTATGATGTAAAAGCTTTTTGACGAATCGGACACAGCAAGTTAAATTCCTAAATGCCTTTCAGGGTTACAGGTATATAATTATATATGTAACCCAAAAACCACACAAAAAGCACATTACTATAATTCTTTTAAATTAAAGTATACTCAATTTATGCATGCTTTTGTATTCAAGTAAACTTGCCTAAAGCCAGTTCTTCCTGACGGTTCTCATTTATTGCTTGTAATTATTGTAAAAGATATGACCTGGTGAAATTGCGAGTTTTTAACTCTATGTACCCCAAAACCCACATTGCGCAAAAAATGCATGGAACTTTGTTTGAAATATAATGTTATAACATTACTCAAGGTTTTTCGACTAAACAAACCCCCAAAAAGTTCATAACAATCATATTTTGCAAACTTAGTCTTAAAGTTTCAGATTATACAAGTTACCAATGGGTCCGTTTCTTAATTTTCAGGTAATACATTTTGGTAAGTAGTGGGAAAAAATTCTTCCAAGCGTTTCTCTCGCCAAAAAAAAATTAAAAAGCTTACGCGTGTATAGGTATCGTATGCTGCATAATGACTATAAATCAAGCATATGGTTTTGGGGGTACCTTGGTTTTGGGGGTACATATAGCTGTATCTAGAGTGGAAACAATACCAGCTGGTGTCCCTCAAGGTAAGGTTATCTCCCCCATGTTATTTTATTAACATTTATATCAATGACATGGAAAATTGTATTCCAATGAAAAGATCGAAAGAGTTGCAAAATACATACTCATTGGAGTCACCATGCAGAATAACCTTAAATGGAAACCAGAGGTGCAAGATATCGTTATACGAGGGCAAGTAAAATAATTTATTTCGTGAGGGCCTGCAGGAAAGCAAATCTCCCGAGAAATATTAATAGGACTTACAACGTACTGCACAAAGATAAGGCCCATTCTGGAATACGCGCGGCACCAATTTGGGCTGGCTTACCACAATACCTGAAGGAATTAAGATATCGAAACAGTATACAAAATCGATGTCTATACATTATTGGTCTACCGAGGAATACAATTGAGTTGCTCGAATCAAGAAGAAACTTTTTGACACGCAAGGAATATAATAACATACCGAATTTCACATACGGACATAAATACACATTGTCAATCATTTATAGGCCTACCGACAGCAGCTTCGTTGAGCTATTTTATAACGAATATAGTAAACAAAGTCTTACTTGAATATGTGCAGTGTATGCAATAATTCTTCTTATTTAGTTACTGTAAAGAGTCATAAACAGAATTATAGCTAATATAAGTTTATATACTCTAAATTTTATGTAAATTTTTAATATTTTTTAATCTGTAATACTGTAATTGGTGGTAAATAAAATCTACTTTTATTATAACTTTGCACTTGGAGAACACGTCGTCTAGTATAGGTGATCGATCGTTATGGAATTTAGGGATGCATTAGTAAGACGTAATTTATAGTGATGCATAAGTTGCATTGGCATAGATCGAATAAAAAAATAAAGATTTGCCTATAGTTATACTCCTCTCAGGTGTTTCTGGTTGGGTTTAAAAATGTATAAATTAGTAAAGTTTCAAAAACGAATAAATCAAAATTTCCATCTATAAAAATCCTTCAACAGTCATACTTTGATATCGAGTGAGATCCCCAGAATGAGACTTGGAGCAAGTCCATTTACAGACTAGAAATAGCCTGATGTACATTTACCCCAACACATCTTTTTCTTTGCCACAGTTGATGGTAATTATGGCAACTGGTCATTAAAGAGTTCATGTTCTGTAACTTGTGGTGGAGGATTTGAAACATGGTCACGAGAATGTACAAACCCTAAACCAAAGTATGGTGGAAAAAATTGCAGTCATCTAGGAAAAACTGTTGAGTACAGACCATGTACTAAGAAATCTTGCATTGGTAAATTATTCGTAAATATATTCTATATACTATAAATATATACTGTTCATGCAAAGCTGGATTCCTGGTATAACTCAAGGATACCCGGTAAAAATTGAGAGAGAGAGAGAGAGAGAGAGAGAGAGAGAGAGAG